GTCACACGATATCAAATTCTCCGGGTTTATACCCTCAAAGCCAAAGTTAAAACTGTTACTTACCTTAACAGCGTAAAATCCTACTCCAGGATGCCCTCGTCTCTAGACTTGGTCTCCAAAAGCTCCGAATCTAACAAAAAATCAGAATACTACTATCAACATAGTCTAAAAAATCAAATTCCACAATAAAAACTACATGAATATGCCAAAAATCCGAAACCGGCCAAAACCCGGCCCCCGGGCCCATGTCTCAAAATCAGTCAAAAATAGCAGAATAATAAACCTCGTCCTCTCCCGAGTCTAACAATATAAAATTCATCAAAATCGGACTCCGTTTGGTCCCTCAAATCCTCACTTAAACTCTCCAAAACTCAAACCCTAACTCCCTCAATTTCACTTTAAAATCATCAATCAAATCCCAAAAACGAAGATGGATTCATGAAATATAACCGAAACGGAGTAGAGAATACTTACCCCAATCCTTATGGTGAAAATCGCCCCTAAAATCGCCCAAATCTGAGCTCCCCAACTCAAAATATGACCGAATGAACAAACCCTCGTTTTATATATTTTTCTGCCAGCTATTCTGCATCGTTTCTCATGCCTACCGATCCCGAAACTCGCTTTTGATGTCTTCAATGGATTCCTTGTGAAATTCTAGTCAAGTTAGGCTTTTGAATCACTCAATTTGACCTTATAATAAATGCGATATGTTGGTTTCAATATTTGCAAATAGTGTAGATGTTTAATTACGAATTCAGTGGCAATTGCGTAATTAGTTTGAAAAATCTCGCAACCCAATATTTTTAGTAAAATGACCATAAATTCCTCATACGATGCCCAAATTCGACGATTGTTTTTGCTATGGCTCCGTAATTACGATACAGATCTAATTCTTCAATCAAAACAGAAATCGGAGCTCATTTGCTTAATGTGGTACCATTTATGCTGGAAGAAACGACGTCGAAACATAAGAAAAACGAGCACAACGCAGCCCAAATCTATCCGAAACTCACCCGAGCCCCTCGGGACCTCAATAATTTCCACAAGTCATATATCACTACCCGAACTTAGTCGAACCTTTGGAACACCCAAAATAATACCAAAACACCGAATCAACCTCGGATTCAAGCCTAAGAACTTCTAAACTTCCAAAATTCGCCAACGACGCCGAAACCTATCAAACCACGTCCGAATAAGCTCAAATTTTGCACACACGTCCCAAATGACACTATGAACTTATTCCAACTTCTGAAATTCTATTCCGACCCCGATACCTAATTTTCCACTGCTGACCAAAATCGCCAAATTTTTAATTTTTGCCAATTCAAGTCTAATTCTACCACGGACCTCCAAATTACATTTCGGACACACTCCCAAGTCTAAAATCACCCAACGAAGCTAACCGAATCATAAAAATCCAAATCCGAATTCGTTTACTCATAAATCAACTTCCGGTTGACTTTTTCTAACTTGGCTTTCTAAATAAGAGACTAAGTGTTCATTTCACTTCAAAAACTACTCCAAACCCAAACCTACCAACTCGATATAACTGAACACAGCTGAACAACACAATAAGAAGCAGAAATGGGGGAAACGGGGCTATAACTCTCAGAACGAACGACCGGGTCGTTACATCCTCCCCCTCTTAAACAAATGTTCGTCCTCGAACGAGTCTGAAAACAAAACATACATGGAGTCTGAACTCATATCACGACATGAAATCTACTTCACTCCCTAACTAAACAACACGAAGAGATCCTTCAACACACCCATAACTTATACATCAAATCAAGATGGAAATCAAGCACCAAATAGTTTTTCTACACCTCAAGCAAATCATTCTCGTCACATTCAAATTATATGAACTAAGCTCGTAGACACATCATACTCATCACGTAGCCATCCAGCCATCACTTCCACTAATAGAGACACTATCGAACATATAAATCCAAAAGCACGTGCTCACATAATCAACACCTCAGTGCTCAAGCTACAGTCACCCCCGGCCTCAAGTCCTCCAGACTGGCCCAACATCAACACACAGAAATCACATCTCGCACCTCATCCAGGGAATCACAAGTCGTTGATGCACAACTGATACCGAGCGCTCATGTGCGCATACAAATGCGTGGAAGGAATTCAAAGAGTTACACTTCAAGCTAAATCAATATCGCACTAAAAGAATTCAAGAATGTGAAATTTTCCTAAAGGTTCTGCAGCCTCTCGAAGATAAGTACAGACGTCTCCGTACCGATCTGCAAGACTCTACTAAACCCGCTTATGACTCATGAGACGNCAAGAGGAGTAACAAGGTCCTGCGGACGCTAACAACTACCTTGCAGTCTCCAAAGATAGCCGGTCTGAACTCAACGATCGCCGCCTTCTAACTCACCTGGATCTACATATAAAGTGCAGGGTGTAGTATGAGTACAACCGACTCAGTAGTAACAGAAATAACTAAGGAACTAAGCAGTAGTGACGAGCTAAGCAGAATAATCCAATTATTATTTCCACAATTAAGTACAAATAGGATTAGAAAGGTAATTGCATAAATCAGTAAGACTACAAGGAAAATTAACAGGTAAATGCAGCAACAGAAAAAGTAAATGCAACCTCACAGCAATGTCACTCCATCACTCAACACTCGCACTCACCACTCAATGCTCAACACTCTGCGCTCACTGGGGGTGTGTACAGACTCCAGAGGGGCTCCCAAAGCCCAAGCGCTAAGCACGGACAACTCACGTGCCATCATATCAATACCTGGATCCATACAGTCAACTCACGTGCTACGCGGACAACTCACGCGCTATGGTATCAATATCTAGACCCGCACGGTCAACTCACGTGCTACGTGGACAACTCACGCGCTATGGTATTAATATCCTCACAACCAGGCCCTCGGCCTCACTCAATCATGTACCTCACTAGCCTCACCATCATCAACAAATAAGGGGACACGACCCACATCAAGTTATCACAGCATATTAGCAAATAATAGAGATTGAGGTAAACATGTACAATAATTTTTATGACTGAGTATAATTAATGTGAGCATGAATAAAGCCTAAGCATGATACTTAACATGAAGGCAGACAAGTTCAACAACAAGTAACTACATAAACACAGATGATGTCCATGAGGCCTCACGTGACGGACCAAGTCTCAATCCCTCGAGGTATACACCCACGCGCGGTATCACCTCCAAACAGTCACACGATATCAAATTCTCCGGGTTTATACCCTCAAAGCCAGAGTTAAAACTGTTACTTACCTTAACAACGTAAAATCTTACTCTGGAATGCCCTCGTCTCTAGACTCGGTCTCCAAAAGCTCCGAATCTAACCAAAAATCAGAATACTACTATCAACATAGTCTAAAGAATCGAATTCCACAATAAAAACTACATAAATATGCCAAAAATCCGAAATCGGCCAAAACCCGGCCCACATCTTGAAATCAGTCAAAAATGGCAGAATCATAAACCTCGTCCTCTCCCGAGTCTAACCATATAAAATTCATCAAAATCGGACTATATTTGGTCCCTCAAATCCTTACTTAAACTCTCCAAAACACAAACTCTAACTCCCTCAATTTTACTTTGTAATCATCAATCAAATCCCAAAAACGAAGATGGATTCATGAAATATAAACAACACTGAGTAGAGAACACTTACCCCAATCTTTATGGTGAAAATTGCCCCCAAAATCGCCCAAATCTGTGCTCCCCAACTCAAAATATGATTGAATGAACAAACTCTCGTTTTATATATTTTTCTGTCAGCTATTCTGCCTCATTTCTCATGCCAAACGATCCTGAAACTCGCTTTTTTTTTTTACTTCAATGGATTCCTTGTGAAATTCTAGTCAAGTTAGGTTTTTCAACCACTCAATTTTACCTTATAATAAATGCGATATGTTGGTTTCAATATTTGCAAATAGTGCAGATTTTTAATTACGAACTCAGTGGCAATTGCGTAATTAGGTTGAAAAATCTGGCAACCTAATATTTTTAATAAAATGACCATAAATTCCTCATACGATGCCCAAATTTGATGATTCTTTTTGCTATGGCTCCGTAATTACGATACAGATCTAATTCTTCAATCAAAACAAAAATCGGAGCTCAGTTTCTTAATGTGGTACCATTTATGCTGGAAGAAACGACGTTAAAACATAAGAAAAACGAGCACAACGCAGCCCAAACCTATCCGAAACTCACCCGAGCCCCTCGGGACCTCAACTAATAATTTTCACAAGTCATATATCACTACCTGAACTTAGTCGAACCTTCGGAACACCCAAAATAACACCAAAACACTGAATCAACCTCAGATTCAAGCCTAAGAACTTCTAAACTTCCAAAATTCGCCAATGACGCCGAAACCGATCAAACAACGTCCGAATAACCTCAAATTTTGCACACACACGTCCCAAATGACACTATGAACCTATTTCAACTTCCGGAATTCCATTCCGACCCAGATACCTAATTTTTCACTGCTGACCAAAATCGCCAAATTTCTAATTTTTGCTAATTCAAGCCTAATTCTACCACGGGCCTCCAAATTATATTCCGGGCACACTCATAAGTATAAAATCACCCAACGAAGCTAACCGAATCATAAAAATCCAAATCCGAATTCGTTTACTCATAAGTCAAATTCAGGTTAACTTTTTCTAACTTGGCTTTCTAAATAAGAGACTAAGTGTTCATTTCACTCTAAAAACTACTCCAAACCCAAACCTACCAAGTCGATATAACTCAACACAGCTGAACAACATAATAAGAAGCAGAAATGGGGGAAATTGGGCTATAACTCTCAGAACGAATGATCGGGTCGTTACAATGGCTTTTCTCGATCGTAACAATAGCACATGTATTTTAGTGTTGAAAGTGGAACTCTCAATTTCGAGCTCCCTAATCATTGTCGAAGAAAAGAGAATAAAGGTAGATATGGTGATGTCGATGAACATAAAGTTTCAAACAACAGACATAAATACTGTATTTAAGCATTTTTATTTTATTTTATTAGGATACATGTATATATACATTATTCACCAGAAATGAATACACAAGAAAAATTCTCCAAATTCTCTAAATTCCTACATGGTATTAGAAGCAGCTTTGAGATCCTAATCTCTAATTAATTCTTTTCTTCATTGATTTGCACAGCATTCATCTAAAACTCAAAGGATGACTAGAACATCTGAGGTCACCTCTGGAACAACTTCAAGCACTGTCAATACAACAGATGTTGGACCAGATCACAGTCACCTTTTTTTTCTTCATGCTTCAGATTCACCAGGGATGAACCTGGTGAACTTATCCTTCAACGGAAAAGGTTATGGAGGCTGGAGAAGATCTATCTTAATAGCCCTGTCGGCAAAAAACAAAGTAGGATTTATTGATGGAACTCACAAAGCACCAGATGTAGACTCTGCTGATTTCAAACTATGGACCAGATGCAATGACATGGTGATATCATGGCTGCTTAACTCATTGTTCAAGGAGATAGCTGACAATGTTATTTATTCAAAAACAACCAGGGATTTGTGGAAAGAGCTTGAGGACATATTTGGACAATCCAATGGAGCGAAGCTCTATCATTTGCAGAATAAGTTAAGTGACTTAGTGCAAGGATCAAATGGCATAGCTGGTTACTTCACAAAGTTGAAAGGACTATTGGATGAGCTTGATGCACTGAACACAAGTATGAATTGTTCTTGTGCATGTCAGTGTGGTGGAAAGACAAAAATGACCAAATCTCTTCAAGATGAGATACTGATTAAGTTTTTTGATGGGTTTAAATGATACATATGCTGCTGTTAAGAGAAAGATCCTAATGATGTCTCCTCTTACGAGTATGAATCATGCATATGCACTCTTAATGCAAGATGAAAAACAAAGAGAGGTGTATGTAAGCTCAAAATTTCCTGGAGAATCTGCATCTTTCTTGGCTGGGAATCAGAACACTTTCAATCAAAGAGCTGGAAACTATGAGGCAAAAGGAAGAAAGAACAACCTGGTTTTCAATCAAAGAGCTGGAAACTATGGACACACAGTTGATAAGTGTTACAGGATAGTTGGATTTCCAAATGATTTCAAGTTTACTAAGGGTAAGAAATTTCAAGGAAATGCAAGGAGCAATGCAGTATTCTCAACAGAAAAAGAACAGGGACATGGATCCAACACCCTTGATGTAGGATGCAGGGGACAACCAATCACTCAAGAGCAGTATTCACAACTCATGTAGTTACTTCAAAATATAAATGCAAATCAGCCAAGTGGATCAGTTCAAGAGGCATCAGCAAATGTAGCAAATTGTGCTGATAATTCCTTTAATAATTCTACTTACAGAATTGTTCATTTCAAAAAGAGGACTTGGATATTAGATACAGGGGCAACAGAGCACATGTGCTTTCATTCAAAAATAATTTTAGAACAAAAATCTCTAATCTCGCCTATTTTTGTCAATCTTCCAAATTCTTATAGGATTAAGGTAACTCAAGATGGAAGTGTCATTCTCAACTCTAACGTCACTCTAAAGAATGTTCTTTTTGTTCCTAGTTTCAGATTTAATCTTATTTTAGTTCAAAGATTATGTTAACAATTAAGATGTCTGCTCATATTCTCTTCTATTGGATGTTTATTACAGGCCCCTTCAATGAAGAGGCCTCTGGAATTTGGTGAAGCTAGGACAAGACTTTATCTATTAGAGTTTTTTATTCAGAATCCTAAGAAGTTTAGTTCAGCCACTATGGCTTCTTTATGTAGTCAAAAACAACCTAGTTGTCTTTCAGTTTTTAGTTCTTTTAAAATTCCTGTAAGAAATGCTACTGATGTAAGGCTGTGTCACCTTAAATTAGGGCACATTCCATTTTCAGCAATGAAGAATGTTTGTTCAAAATCTATGTCTCCTTTTCATTTTGATTCTACTTGCAATATTTGTCCATTGGCAAGACAGTCAAGATTACCATTTTCATCCAGTGAAATCAGTTCTAAAAATATTTTTGAATTAATACACATTGATACTTGGGGCCCCTACAAAGTATCTACTCATGATGGGCATAGATACTTCTTAACCATAGTTGAGGATTATAGCAGAGGGACATGGATTTATCTCCCAAAGGCTAAAAACAATGCCTTATATCTGCTAAAGTGTTTCTTGGCTCTGGTTTAAAGACAGTTCAATACTAAGGTAAAAGTAATTAGGTCGGATAATGCACTGGAGTTAGGAGGAAGTGCAGAGTCTTCTGCCTTCTTTGCCTCTAAAGGAATTATTCATCAAACATCATGTGTACATACTCCACAATAAAATGGAGTTGTGGAGAGGAAACATAGGCATCTATTGGAGGTGTCTAGAGCTCTATTGCACCAGTCCAAGGTTCCTATATCATTTTGGGGAGAGTGTGCATTAACTGCAGCTTTCTTGATCAACAGATACCCATCCAGAATACTGAGAAACAAAACACCATATGAAGTTCTTTTTGGAAAAGTCCCATTTTATTTGTTTTTGAGAAGTTTTGGGTGTATGTTATGTTTCAACAAATTCACACAATAGAGGAAAGTTTAAACCTAGAGCTAATGCATGTGTCTTTATGGGATACCCTTATGGCAAGAAAGGGTTTAAGTTGTCGGAATTAAATAACAGGAAGATGATAGTTTCAAGAAATGTACATTTTAATAAAGCTATTTACCCATTCTCAAGATCATTCTCACCTTGACAATTTGTCTTCACCTTTCTTTTCCAGCCAAGGATCTCCAGTTGATGAAGAATTTGTCATCCATCAGATCTCAGATATGATCACCTCTGATTCTCATTAAAAACTGTGAATTTGGATTCTCCCATCTCATATGAATCTTCACCTTTAACTTTTAATCATTCATCTCCTCCTGATTCACCATCTGAGAAAATCAGACAACAGGACCCTGAAATCATTTTGAGAAGATTAGAAAGACCTCATAATCAACCAGTATACTTGAAAGACTATGTATGTAATTCTGTCTTCTTAACTAATCTAACTAATTCCTGTTTTAGCCAACCTGCCAATCCATCAACCTATTATTTTCCTGCATTATCAACTATAAATCAAAAAGTTTTAAACTGTATTTCTAGCATGACTGAGCCTATAATCTTTTCTCAAGCATCCTTACACCCAGGGTGGAAACAAGCAATGGATTCTGAGATATAGGCTCTGATTGATAATCAAACTTGGGAAGTTGTTAACTTACCAGAAGGAAGAAAAGCTTTACCTTATAAATGTGTATATGAGGTAAAACACAAATCATATGGCAACATTGAAAGATTAAAGGCATGATTAGTCATTAGAGGAGACATTCAAAGAGAAGGGATTGATTTTAATGAAACTTTCAGTCCCGTGGTTAAAATGACCACAATCAGATGCATTTTAACAGTAACAGTCAAAAAGGGCTGGAAAATATCACAACTAGATGTGAACAATGCATTCTTTCATGGTGAATTGGAAGAAGAAGTGTACATGAAATTTCTGGTAGGACTACCTGCCCCAAGTCCTAATCATGTGTGCCGACTCAAAAAATCATTATATGGTTTGAGGCAGGCATCCCGACAGTGGTATGCAAGGCTTACAACAGCCTTGAACTCCGAAGGATTTATTTCATTCATGAACGACTATTCATTGGTTTTTAAAAAATCAAATGGTTTTATTTCTATTATTGCAGTCTACGTGGATGATATTATCCTAACATGCAACAATCCAGAAGAATTATCTCAATTAAAGTGTTTTTTAGATTTCGAGTTCAAAGTCAAAGATCTAGGAGACTTACATTATTTTCTGGGACCGAAAATATTTAGAGAAAAACAAGGAGTGATAGTGAGCCAAAGAAAGTTTACCTTGGATCTTCAGGCCAAGTACAATTGTGATCATATGCCACTGGTATCATTGCCTCTAGATCCTTCCTACAAATAGAATGCAGAATCGGGTGAGTTGTTGAAGGATCCGACTACATATCGGAGAATTTTTGGGAAAATAAACTATCTAACTCACACCAGACCAGACTTATCTTTTTCAATACATCACCTAAGCCAATTCATGCAGCAACCCAGGATTCCCCATTTCACAGCTGCACTCAGAGTTGTTCGTTATCTCCATTCAGACCCAGGTCAGGGACTTTTTCTCTCTGCTAATCCCAAACTCGATCTTTTATCTTTCTGCGATGCCGATTGGGGATCTTGCACAGACTCTCGCCGATCAATTAGTGGATATTTCATCACACTATGCGGATCTCCAATTTCCTGTAAATCGAAAAAATAATCTTATGTATCCCTTTCCTCCGCATAAGCAGAGTATCGTTCTATGCGACGAGTCATGGCAGAGATCACTTGGTTGACTCGTTTACTTTCATATCTGGGTACTCCTCCCTCTCTTCCAGTTCCAATTCACTCCGACAGTCAAGCTTCGATTGATATCGCATGGAATTCGATATTTCATGAAAGGACCAAACATGTCGAACTTGATTGCCATTTTGTTAGGCAACAATTCCTCTCTGGTTTAATTTCACTCTCGTTTGTCCCTTCATCGTGTCAACTGGCAGATCTGTTCACAAAACCTTTATATGGTTCTCCGCATCACAATCTACTTGGCAAGTTGGGGGTTGCTTCTCTCCCCTCCAACTTGAGGGGGGTGTTGAAATTGGAACTCTCAATTTCGAGGTCGCTGATCATTGTAGAAGAAAAGAGAATGGAGGGAGATATGGTGATGTCGATGAACACAAAGTTTCAAACAACAGACATAAAAGTACACAAGAGCAAGACAAATAAAATAAGGTCTTTAAATAATCTTTAAAAGATCTGGACAAAGTAACAGCAACATGTGGAGTGGTGCACAGCCACAAAGAAGACAAAGTGAAGTGGTGGACAACCACAAAGAAGACAAAGTGGAGTAATCTAAGGCATATTTTCAGGCACTAACATACCTGTATATTCTCTTTTATTTAAGCATTTTTATTTTATTTTATTAGGATACATGTATATATACATTATTCACCAGAAATGAATACACAAGAAAAATTCTCCAAATTCTCTAAATTTCTACATTTAGAGTACATTATTGTGTATTTTTCAGTTGAACAAAATGGGAAAATGAGGACTAAACTCAAATTGCTGGCACATGAACTGTTCCAAAGAAGAAGAAAAAATTTGGTAAGTTAGATATGTTAAATATTTTTCATGGATGTGATTATGCGTTATATTGAGTTTCTAACTTTGATAATATCTCACCCTTTTCACTTTATACTTACTGAATATTCACTTGTAATCGCCTGTAATGACCTGACTTATCGTTTTAAGAATTAGCACCACGTTCAGTGGCTTAAGGTCTCGAGCAGCTTCGCAATATGTATTATGACCCCGCGGGTGTGGTCGAGTTTGATTTACGGATGATTCCGAGTGATTTAGGACACTTAGTCCCTAAAACAGAAGCTTAAGTCTTAGGATTTTGACTGTAGTCAGAATTGTGTGAAGACAACTCCGGAATGGAGTTCTGTCGGTTCCGTTAGCTCCGTTGGGTGATTTTGGGCTTAGAAGCATGTACAGACTGTGAATTTGAGGTTTATAGCTGATTTACGCTTGAATGGCGAAAAGTCAAATTTTTGAAGTTTTGGATCGGAAGTGAACTTTTTGATATTGGGGTCGGAATGCGATTCCGAGAGTTGAAACAGCTCCGTTATATTATTTGGGACTTGCCTGCAAAATTTGACGTCATTCCGGGTTGGTTTGATAGGTTTCGGCACGAGTTTTAGAAGTTGGACGTTTTGGAAGTTCATAAGTTCGATTCGTGGTGCGATTTGTATTTTCGGCGTTATTTGATGTGATTTGAAATCTCGAGCGTGTCCGTGATAGGTTATGAAACTTGTTGGTATGTTTAGACGGGGTCCCGGGGGCCTCGGGTGTGTTTCGGATGGGCTACGGGCCATTTTCTTCTATTTTAGAACTGCTGTTTTCTGTCATCTGGTTTCCTTAATCGCGTTCGCGTCCTTTCCTTCGCATTCGCGAAGAGTAATTTTGGAGGAGGAATTCATTGTTCTTCGCGTTCGCATGATCACATTCGCGATCGCGAAGGTTTTCCTTTTCCTCCATCGCGTTCGCGATTAGCCACTCGCGTTCGCGAAGCTCTTCATGGTCGCCTCATATTTCTTCTTCACGTTCGCGTTCAATGTCTTGCGTTCGCGTAGGTTCCGTCCCTTGTTCTTCGCGTTCGCACTCCTTCCCTAGCGTTCGGAAGGGTTTTTTTGGACAGCCTTACCTTCCTTCTTCGCGAACGCGAGCCTTTCTCCGTGTTCGCGATGTTTCAAACCTGGGCAGATTATAAGTTTTCCAAATCGAGGTTTAGGCCATTTTTATCACATTTTGACTTGTAGAGCTCGGTTTTGAGCGATTCCTTGTGGGTTTTTCAAGCAAATCGATTGGGTAAGTATTCTTCACCTAGAATCTATTTATTTCCATGATTCTATCTTTATGTTTATCATTTAAATTGTGTTTTGAGTTGAGGAAAAGGGTGATTTTTGAAGAAATATTTTCAAAATGAAAAATCACGATTTGAGGGACGAAATGGTATCGGAATTTGATGAAATTGGTATGGTTGAACTCGTATCAGAATGGGTGTTCGAATTTCATGAAAAATATGTCGGGTTCCGAGAGGCAACCTCGTGTTGACTTTTGTTGACTTTTTGGAATAAATTTTTAAGTCGACGTGTTATTATCCGGAATTGTTTCCGATGAATTTTAATGAAATTATACAATTGAATTGGATAGATTTGAGCTGTCCGGAGATCAAATTCAAGCAAGAAAGCAATTTTGGAATATCGGCATAACTTCAATAAGGTAAGTGTCTTGCTTTACCTCGAGTGGGAGAATTACCCCTTAGGTATCGAGTCTTATGTGCCATTTGTGAAATGTGAAAAGCCATGTACGCGAGGTGACGAGTACGTACTTGGCTTATATGTGTAAATTTTATTGAGTTAAAGTCATGAGCATATTGTGTGGTAAATTGGGTAATTGTTGGTATATATTTAATCATCTAATTGTCGTGCCTAAATCCTTGTTCTTGTTGAATCTGTTGTTATATGACAATTTGATGTGACTGTTACTTGATTATTTATGTAATTCCGTGAATTTGTTGGTTTGATAATTATTGAAATTTAATTTAATTATGAATTTTTCCTCTGTAAATAATTAATTAAATGAGCTTAAGAAGAGGTGTTTATATAATTATTGAGAATTTGATTTTAATGAAGACTTTGCTTTATGTTGAGTAATTTCTATCTCTATTGATTGTTTTTGGGTGTTGTACACATTATGTGGAGCTTCTGGCTATTTGTTGTGAAATTAATTGATTTGGTTGTAGCTTTGAAATTTGGTTGTGGCCATTGGGCAAATTGTGATATGAATTGATTTTTGTTATGTTGCTGTGATAATTTTCCGTGTAAATTGTTGTGTTGTTTGAGTTGTTATTTTGGGGAGATAAGGGTGGCATTTCACTGTTGATATTATGTGGATATAAGGGTGACATTTCACCGTTGTGTTTGTTAGAATGTTGTCTGGGCGGAGCGATAAGGGCGGCTATAGGAGTGATAAGGGTGGCAATAGGAGCGATAAGGGTGGCTATTGATATTGTCTGGGCGGAGCGATAAGGGTATATGTAGGAGTGATAAGGGTGGCAATAGGAGCGATAATGGTGGCTATTGATATTGTCTGGGCGGAGCGATAAGGGTATATGTAGGAGTGATAAGGGTGGCAATAGGAGCGATAAGGGTGGCTATTGTCAGGGACGATATGTGATGATGTGGCGTTGTGGTGTTGATAATTTTCATGTGATGTTGTGATTTTCTTGTGTTTACTTTTATACCTTGTGCAATTTGTCTTGTTGTTGGTAAATTGATAACAATCTGATTTATGTTGAAATTGAGAGCCTGTGGCTATTGCCAGGCGGATTATAAATTGAAATGTGGGCACGAGGTACCGTGAGTAAATAATAAGGATAATTGGCACGTGAATTGTCCGTGCAGTTGTGATATGAAATGTGGACATGAGGTGCTGGGATGAAATGATAATGATAATTAGCACGTGAATTGTCCGTGCAGTTGTGATATGATTTAATTATGGGCACGAGGTGCCGTGGAAATATGAAAAATGGGCTGAGACCCGTGTTTACGAAAAATATGAAAATGGGCTCAGACCCTAATTTTTTTACGATTATGAAATGAGGTGTCACATAGTGACTTTTTAATTGAAAGGATTATATTCAAAAATATTTATTTGGAAGGATTTTTATTCAAAAAGAATTATATGAAAGAATTGTATTTGAAAGATATTTATTTGAGGAAATTATATTTGAAAAGATTTATTGAAAGAATTATATTTGAAAAATAATTATTTGAGAAAACTACATTTAAAAGAGAGTTATTTAGAAGAATTATATGTGAAGGATATTTATTTGAAAAACTTGAATTAATTGGGCATATATGTATTTATTAATTTATGAGTGATATTTATGGTATTCTTGTTGTCTTGCTGCGTATACTACTGGTTGTTTTATCCTGCCCTTATTGCTATATGTTTCCTAGTATTTTTGTATATTATAATGCACAAGTTATTAGACTAGTGAGTATCTTGACTGTACCTCGTCTCTACTCCATTGAGGTTAGTCTTGATACTTACTGGGTACCGACCGTGGTGTACTCATACTACACTTCTGCACATTTTTGTGCAGAGCCAGGTATTAGAGATATCGGACTTGAGTAGAGTTAAAGCGGGATCGTAAGAATTCAAGGTAGAGCTGCTTGGCCGTCACAGTCCTTTGGAGTCTTTTCATTTCATTGTACTGTTAATTTCTAATCAAACAGTATTGTATATTCGGTCCTCGTGATCATTCCATGTATTCAGTTAGAGTTCGTGACTCAGGACTACCAGTCTTGGGAGGTTGTATATTGTAATTATTTTCGTTGTTAGTTTCAATAAAAAAAATGGCTTCAAAATGTAATTGAAACCGACTTACCTAATCTTAGAGATTAGGTGTCATCACGATGCCTGTGGTGGAAATTTGGGTCGTGACATCGCTATCGTACAAATAGTGATTCTGATGAAGATTGTCGACAAAGACCAATATTGGAAAAGGGAATGACAAAGAGCTTTTTTCTGAAAGAGATATATTGCTAAGGGATTTTTTTCATCAGCTTCTCAACAAAAAAATTGGCCTTATTTAAAATGCATTTTGTGTGGTACAACTATCTAATAGGATTTTGAAAATATACAAGCAGGTAAATCATCTTAGCTTGCTTTAATCATCTTAGCCCAAACTTGAGGTGCTCAAATTGAAGATGAATGCCTTTGCAGATGGCGAGAATGCTGGAGAAGATGTCTGGAAAGTAACAGAAATTCTTGCTCCTTGAGTGGTTGTATCTTCATTATTGGAGAGCCACTTATGATTATTTCCCACGCCTGCAGCGTATAATTATCAGAAGTTGCTTTTTCTTAAATGAGATTCCTCAAGGATTTGCAGATAGTATGACATTGCAGCTAATTGAGTTACATCAATGTTCCTCTTCCCTTGTGAATTCTGCTAAACGGATCTAGAAAGAGCAATTAGAGAATTTGGGAAACGACGTGCTTAAAGTTTATGCCTTTGACACTATTAGTGGTAAGTAAAACAATTTAGCATGAATTTTCAATATCCATTATATGTTTCAGTTATTGAGAATATAATTCACCTGCAGACTTTGATGCATAACTGCTAGTATATTGCTTGATTATAATAAGGTAGGGAAAATTGCGTCGCTCGTATGATGTTGTATTTGTTGGGAAAAAATAATAATC